TCACCCCGTTGCCATTCCTAGCTATAACAAGACAACAAGAAACGTGTTCAACCAGAATTGCAATATTGAAGACATTAACGTACAAGACATATATGACTCAATACAAGAATTTTCATTTATTGAAATTACGTGAAACAACTGTACTATTTTTCCTTAGCTCTATTGAGTTTTGTTGACAAGGTTCTAACGAGATATATATTTTGTAATGTATCATTCAAGGAACTTATATTTCATATTGAATGACAATTATACCCTTTACAACCCTAGTTATTATGATTATCCCCTTGCAAACTTAATTCTTTCCTATAAATACGGGACTTTGGTTTTTTAGTACATTCCGTTTTACATTATAACATGTGTCATATAATTTTACCATTGATTGTTCAAATACTTAAAATAATCAATAAAATTTTACCACTATTCAAATGTCAAGTTGTACACAAATAATGTACATAATTCATTTAGATAGAAAAATGGGGTAAGGAATAGTATTTTTTAGAGAATGTGTAGTTGAAATTTAAAGTAACTTTATTGGTTTTTGTATGGAATATTTTATTGAGTGAATATGTGGTTGAGATTGTTTACTGTAGAAAATAATATTTGTAAAAATGGAAGAGCTTAATTATAAGAAATTTTCAAGCAGAAACAGGCAAACATGAAGTGGGAATACCATATATCGTATAAAATAACAGACTGCAAACCTCAATCGACAAAGGCTCATGAGAGACTATGAGAAAGTTTTCATCTTTGGCATCTAGGGCTTCACCTGCAACTCCAAACCTCCATATTCACAAACAGAAACAACCTCAAAATTCGAAACCCTCGAATTTCAGCTCTTCGAATAATCTTGGTCAAAAATCCAGTAGTATCTACACGTTTGAAGCCACTTCTACAGGTGAGCCTCAATTCAATGACTCGGACTTTAAATCAATTTCAGTTTCACGAACTCACATTTATAGTAATATAAATAAATTTGATGGAAAACCCATTGATCATCAATACCTTGCTGAAGTTCTATCAAGAAAAGATTGGTTTTTGCTTCTAAACCACGAGCTTAAGGACAAAAGGGCCAGTTTGAATACTCGGATTATTCTTAGTATTCTGCAAAATCAAGAAAACCCTCTACACCTTTTGAGATTTTATATTTGGGTTTCGAATATATGCCCTCAATTTGCTAAGAATCATCTGATTCATGGTGCTTTAGGCAATGTCCTTTATAGGAAAGGCCCGGTTTTGTTGTCGGCTGAATTGATTGAGGACATTAGAAACTCAGGGTGTAAAATTACTAAGGATTTTCTCTGTGTTCTGCTTGGTAGTTGGGGGAGGTTGGGTTTAGCAAAGTATTGCATTGAGGTTTTTGAGCAGATTTCTTATCTGGGCCTTACTCCTAGTACGAGGTTGTATAATGCGTTGATTGATGCATTAGTGAAGTCCAATTCTCTTGACTTGGCTTACCTTAAATTTCAGCAAATGGAGGTGGATGCTTGTATTCCAGATAGATTTACATATAATATCCTCATCCATGGAGTCTGTAAGATTGGTGTGGTAGATGAGGCTCTTCGCTTAGTGAAACAAATGGAGGGGTTAAAATACTCTCCCAACGTGTTCACGTATGCTATCTTAATAGATGGCTATTGCAATGCCAAAAGAGTAGATGAGGCATTTGGGCTTCTTGATAGAATGAAGAAAAGGAATGTCAAACCGAATGATGCAACATATAGATCACTCGTGAATGGGGCTTTTCGATCTGTGCCTGCTCACAAAGCACTGGAGTTGTTATCGAGATGGGTGGATATGAAGCCTAATTTGCCTAATGTGGTTTATGATACTGTACTTTATTGCCTTCTTAATAATTCTTTGCCGAGAGATGCAGCTGTATTTTTAAAAAAGGCTGCAGAACGAGGTTATAATCCTGATAGTTCAACATTTAACATTGCAATTACCTGTTTTATTAAGGGATTGAATCTTGACGAAACTTGTCAGATATTTGATTATTTTCTTAAGCAAGGTATGAAGGTGGATTTCAATGCTAGTCTTGCTCTTGTTGAGGCTCTTTACAAATCAGGAAGAGAAGGGGCAGGAAATAAATATTTAAGTCTGGTTCTCGAGGATGGATTTGTCTTAAACGTATTCTCATATAACATGGTGATTGATTGTCTCTGCAAGGCCAAAATGATGAACAGAGCATCAGAAACTTTCACAAGGATGTGCCAAAGAGATATTCTCCCCAATCTTGTTACTTATAATACCCTTATTGCGGGGCATTTCAAGGTTGGAAATGTAGTCAAGGCACGAGAGTTGCTGCTGATGCTCATAAGGGATGACTTTAAACCGGATATTTTCACTTTTAATTCAATAATCAATGGTCTTTGCCAAGTGAACCAGATTATTGATGCTTTTGATTGTTTCTCAGAAATGGTAGAGTGGGGAATAACTCCAAATGCTATTACATATAATATTTTAATTCGCTCACTGTGCATTTCTGGGGATGTTTCTAAAGCAATGAAACTATTGAGAAAGATGCAAGACGATGGAATCCAGCCTGACATTTACTCCTTTAATGCTCTAATTCAAAGTTTTTGTAGAATGGATAAAGTTGAGAAGGCGCAAAGGCTTCTTACAAGCATGTTGACACTGGATTTGCATCCTGATAATTTTACTTACATTGCTTTTATCAAAGCATTGTGTGGATCCGGAAGATATCGTGAAGCTAAAGAGTTGTTCATCTCAATTGAAGCAAATGGATGCATCCCTGATGCTTATTTATGTAACTTATACATTGATGCCTTGATTAAGTCAGGCAGAATCAAAGAAGCCCGTAGTATATGGTTGAAATACAAAGAGAAGGGAATAATGTTAAAACCTTATCCTATTTAGTTGCGTGCTACTGTGGTGGGTGATTATAAATCACACACAAGTTTGGATTGCTTTGTGAAGCTTCCGGCTTTGAATGCAGATACGGATACTAATTACATGGATGCAGTTTACTTCCCATACTGTTGAAATTTTAGGTTTGCATCTTGACAAGTAGTATTCCATATTATATTCTTGCTTGCACAACCGTGTGTCAGTCATTGATGCAATACTCTTACCTGTAACTAGTTTTATTAGTTGTCTGTGTATCATAGTTTGACATTTGCTGTTTCTTTTCAAGGTATCCAATTATTTTAACTCAAAACTTGTCAACTGTTACTAGATTTTCCCACTCTTGTTATGAAAGAAATGTTAGGGATATTAGTGAATGCGAATTTAATGGCTTACTGAGTTATCAACTTTGAGCATTATTTCATGGGGCTTGTCATGAATTCTTCATCATGTTAAAAGTTTGTGATAATTGTTTCTGATTCATATAATGATTAGTACGCATTGCAATGTTTTGTAGAATGATGAACTTGCAGTTCTGCTGTTTTCCAGATACTTATCATTCATCTCATATGCGCGAAAATAAGTTTGCTTATGTTCGTAGTATCATACTCCATCACTAAAAGGCTTCTTATTTAGGGGATATCATGATGGATTTGTTTCCTACAATTAGATCACGAATTATATATCTATCTCAAAACTACTGTCTTTATTGATGAGACTGAACCAGAAGTGTTTTAATATATAATTCCGAAGCAAGACACTTTTCATGTTTTAGTTTAATCTAAAATATATAATCTTGAAAATTCTTGTTTTCATTTATTTATGAAATTACAGATGCTGGGTTGAGTTTATTTAGTCGAAGACATTTCAAAGTAATTGGTTCTGTTTTTGACATTTGTGCTGTATTTAACAGCTTTCTCGGCATCAGGAATGTCTCCAAAGCTGCTGTCCTTGTCTGTGTAATTAATTGGACAAGAAGTTGTGAAGAGAAGGTCTCTCTTTGTACTTGGTTGATAAGAACAGTCATTCTTATAGAGACTCATTTGAAATGGTGAAAAAGAGAGCAGTCGGGAATTCTGCTCAGGGATCAAGATGCAAATCTAGCTTAGAAGGCTTAATGCAGACGTTGGAGCAAACTGTCGTCCAGATGCAATACTGTCAGTCAGCATTAAGGAATACAATCATGGAGGATGCGTGCGGATAATGGCTTCGGTTTTCAATTGGTTCAATATAAAGTTTGCTTGTCATCTTAGGGGTTTAGATTTCCTACTGTGACGCCATTCTGGGGAAGATTTGTGTAACGATATTTAACTTTCGTTTTAACCTCGATAACATTTAGAGAAGGAAATTAAAGTTAGTTGTTTCTGATGTAATTTTCCTCGAACATTTGTCTAATTATAGTATATTTAAACTAGTGTTGGCCAGGAAGAATTTTGAATAGATTGGACAAAATGCTTACTACACGGAATAAATTGTTCTTTAAATTTGCTGTAGAACTTCGACCCCCTGTATTGAATCATGGTTAAATTTCCCAGAATATAAAGTGTCTTTAACGGCATCTGTTGCTTGGACTGGAAAGAAATTGGAAATAATTCGGTGCTAAAGTAAAAGCTTTCGTTCACAAAGAGCCCTTTTTCTACTGTTTCTGTCCCTGAATGTTAGTGTTTGCACAGATCATGGTATTTACAATTACAGGTCAGATGTTTGAAATGTGTCCCAGGGTGTGAACCAAGGGAATCATAGTGCATGTTTAGTATGCAGTATTGGACATGATAGTAGGTGCTAAAATCCTGTACAATGCTCGTTTTTTGATTAATAATGTCACTCATTGTTGTCTACAAGAAGTTGCTTGTTCTGGAAGGTTTGCGATTGTAGGTTTGATTTCTAGCTCTCCATACACAAAAGTCTGCATAAATTGGTAAGATTTGTCCAACCTCCTTTCTTATAGTCACCTCAATTTTTATCCAATTTTAACCATAATTTACCTATAGACTATTGTTGATTAGACTTTCTTCTTCCATAAGATTGTCAATTACTTGAACAATGTATCATTCTAATTTATTGGCATTAGTTCTACTTTTGAGAATGTTGCCGATTCTAGAAAATTACTAGTCATCTGTTAAAAAGGACATCTATATTTGTATATATAGATGTAAATAGCATGCAGCCTAAATCTGTCCCTTCTGTCTGTTCAATATGAGTTTAATGGCATTCTCAGTAACCTCGAAGCGTTGGTTTTTGGCTACAGTTTTGGTATACATCTTCGTTTCGTCGTTGAAATTAGGTAAGAATTCAGGCACCGTCAAGTGCTATCCAATCGTTCCTACTAATTATGCTATTTAATTGTTTTTTCAGGAATAAGCTTTTTATTCATCGGTGTTGATGTTTCGATTGCTACCTTTGACAGGTAAAGCATACGAAGATCATCCTCATTTAGGTGCTGCTGGCGTAATTGCAAAGGAATTCTTGCCTAGAGCAGAAGATGAAGGAGAAACTGATCAGTATTTCCCACAAGCTGGGATAATAAACACTAATCCGGCTAACATTGTCGACAAGGCCCTCGAATGTTTCCATGATAATTATGTAAGTAATGGTCGCCTTCACCCTCACCACCCTCCTGAAGGGCTTACGAGCTACGACTGAACCATTTGTGCAGCCCACCAACTAAAATTAGATATTGTTTTTAGTTACATTGTGATTTAAGTATTCTTATCTCCGTTTTGAGATTTCTCTTTTACATTAGAATTTTTATTATGTCCAATTTCTCGGTATTTTGTGTTAATAGACGGGTCTGTAATGCCTATTTATTTGTATTCACGTGCGAATCAATAGAAACTAGATGGTTGTTCGTGAATTCCGTGTTTTTCTCGTTTTCATATATGCTTCCATGTATCCTCACAAACAATTTGAGATGTCATTTAATATCGTCTCTCTCTCTGATCTAAACATATGCAGATTTACAGTAGCTGCGATGAAACTTATAGATTAAGCCAAATTGGAGAACTCAATGTTCCACCCGAATACACGGATCAGTACTGCAAAGGACCGTGCCTAACTGAGACACACCATGTGCTAGACTGTTTAGACGGCATCACGAAACACACTATATTCTACAACAAGGCTACGCTAAGTGTGGTACGAGAAACTATCAAGACAGGATGTAGTTATGGTCCTAAACGAGGTAATACTCTATACAACACTGTTTTCTTCATTACATTATGGATTGTTGTAATAAGTTGTTTTCTGCAGGTGACTTTAGTGTGGCTGAGCACCTCCAAGCAGAAGAGAATAGCGCACGTACACTCTCTAAATCTGTCATATACGGGCTTCTGCTAATGTTTATGACGTGGGGTGCCTTTTTTTAACGTTGCTTTTGTTGTCGTCTATTAGGATAAATGATTATATGTATTTTTTTCATACTTATGTTGTCATTGCTTATAAGTAATTCATAAACAATTCTGGGTTGCGTTTATTTTTTATTTTTAGTGTTTCTACTGTTTCTGCTAATATGGTAAAAATAAACAGCAGTTAAAACCGTTCAACTGAAACTTAACTATCAATTTTCTTAGTTACGCCAACCTATTGTTTGTTATGGTCCTTGTGGAATACTTTGCTGTCTCAACCATTATTTATTGCTACAAGCATTATGATTTTCTACTAGTATTATGTTATTTTTTGGCTTTGCAAAGTCAGTAAAATTTACTTTTAAAATAACTTTTTAGCATAAAATTACATAAAAGAGATGATTATCCAAATATATCTGGAGATCAAAAGTTACTTGAAAGCAGCTTTACATTTCTAAGGCTTAGCCAAACATGGCTGAAAAAAACAAGACCAAAATTATCTTGAAGATATTCTCACAATTAAGCAGGCTTTAGCATATTGTGTTGAGCAACTATGAGAAAAGAGTGACACAAAAAAAAAAAACCTTCAAAATACAGAATGCTCTATTATTGAAGTATACTGCTTATTTTCAAGAATCACATCAAGAAGATGGAAAACAGTAATGGAAGAATATCAAATCCAAAATAAATAACGGCTTGTTTGGTGGTCCTTAATAATGAACAGTATAATAGATAAGATTTTAACTTCTTTTTCTTCCTTAATATTGTCGGTATAATTCATCTACCAAACAAACCATAAGACTTTACGAGATAAGATAGAGGTAAGTTGCAATGGTGAAGTAAAATTTTGTTGATAGCCATTACAATACCAAAATGTCATCAACCACTTCATCTAATAATGAAGTAAGAATCCGATCCTCTATCACTTTTCCAAGTTCAAATGCTTCGATATCAAAATCGAGCCATCTTCCTCGTTTGCTACTCATGTCCTCATCAACAAGTTCGTCTACCATATAATCTTTCATACAATTCCAACTCGAAATTTCATTATACACTTCGACAGCTAACCTATCCTTTCTTCTGACGACTGAGAGACCGTTTGTCCACATTTTACATCCCCCACTTGCATAATGTCTGCATCTCGAGTCCAAACATTCAGTCACACAATCAAACAAAGCCTTTCGGCTTATTTTTGCTTCAAGTCCATGACCGTTGAAACACCATTTTCGACTCTCTAATTGATTGAAAAGATGAGGGTTTATGATCTCACGAGCCCTTCCCAGCGCGTAATCCTTAAACATCAACTCTATGTTGCATAATATTTCCTTCACATATTCTAGTTCCCATCCTTTAGACTTCCCTGAATCAATGGCAATAGAAGTAGGAGTCACATGTTTTATTGCTCGAGTTCCAGCAGAAGTCAAATAAGCCGAGTCTGATAACTCAGCATCACCTTCAAGTAATTGTAACTTCTTCAAAGAATACATACCAAGCACTTCTTGATCTTGAACAGATGAATACTGCTTGCCACCTGGAATTGATATAACCATTCAGTTATTTCAAGATTCAAACATTAGGAACAAAAAAAATCCAAATTGAAAAAAAGATGGGGTAAGAAGCAATTTTATGAGTTATTTTTGTTTCACTGAGCTCAGAAAGTTTCGTTAATCACGTTAGGCAAAAGAAGCAACTTAGAAAAAGCTAGTTTAAGAACATCCAAACAGCTCAAAAATATTACATTACCTCCTGAACTACTTCCTGCAGTGTCCGAAGAATCTAAACTTTCAGAATGATCAAGAACTGAAACTGGACTTGGGAGCCGGCAATCCAGCAACATTTTGGTTTCAATCCCATTGCCAAGTCCATTCATCAAAGAAAATCTCGGCCCACCTAGGCCGATCACACCATCTGTGTGAATCCCGTCTTTGGTCCTGTTGTCATGTGAAACTGTTGAGGTTTTTAAGTTATTCAGACCAGGCATTGGATCTTGAAAAATTGATGCAGAACTACCCATTGTCGCTACTTTGTGTTCAGAAAACTCTACTCCACAAGTCAATTCTTTGAACTTTTGCTCCAAGAGAGTGCTCAATGCGTCACCTCCATTCACATTATTTCTAGGGAAAGAAAACTTATTCATACCATCCGAGCTCAATAACAACCGTTTAGTTTGAATACTCTCAGAAAAGTCATCATCACTTTGTTCCCGAGTTTCTCTGGTCCTCTCACTGCAAGCTCCCTTCATAGGAGTAGTGAACGTAAAAGAAACGACATCAGTTCCGTTAATTTTGGTATCTTGATCCCATCGACTTTGCCGATCCATTAAAGCATTGGATTGAATCAGTTTCTGATTTTTATCCATCAGCGCGTTATAAGCCGCCTGGTTTTTCATATATTGGTAATCCCCATCTACAGATCTTTTCTTATGGGAGACTCTTTCTGAACCAGAACAAGATACTGCCCTTTTATCATCTCTTGTGTCTGAACCGGATCTCCTGGTACTGAACTTAGAGTTTCCCGAGGTTTTACTAGAGTTCTTTTGCCTTACTGAAGAGGAATCTCCACTGAGAGCTTTCCCGTCGTGTAAGTTGGAAGCAAAGGATTTTGAATGTAATTTTCCATTGTCCGTATTAACACAATTCTGTTTCTGATTGTTCTGTCGGAGCACACTTGAACCACTTTGTGTAGATGGTTTCTTATGCTTAATCTTCTGCATATTTTGTTGGATTTTGAACGGCTGGTTGGAATTGAACACACTATGTTCTTTATGGACCAAACTTCTGCTACTGCCAGTGTTTAAGCCTTCTCGTTTCTGAACATTGGCCTTCGCCTGTAGTGCAAGTGAAATGGATTTTCCTTTATTTTTAAGGTCAGTGGAACATTCTTCAGAACTTGTATAGACACTGACTGATGTTGCGTCCATAGATTGTGCCTTAAAATACTTGGCAAAATTAGTTTCTTCTGGCTTTCGAGAAGCCTCGGACAACTTTGATGAACTCTGAGCCGATTGAACCTTTTCTTTCAAATTCTTTACTCGTAAGGGAACTGATAATGACCCCACCCGAGGCAATTTTGATTTTCTGTTAGCTTGAGGTCCTGGCTCTATAATTCTTGCAGCTGCTTCCATGATGTAAGCAGCATCATTAGAAGGGATAAAATTGGCACTTTTGATCGGAGATAAAAGTTTGTGATGGGTGATTGGGATGGATTTAGCCGATTTAGGAGGCAAAATTTCAGTTTGAAACTTCTCCATTGGTCTGTTTACTTGTTTCTGGTTTTGCACCATAAAATTCCTAACAGAAGCCAGCTCCTTGTGTCTGCTCGAGTGCACGATTTGACTAGCTTGAGAACATTCAAGATTTTTTGCATGGTAACCAGCATCACGGAGAGATTGTGAATTTAGAAATGGAGAAGAGTAGGGCTCGGAGAAATTGGCTGTTGGCATGGAATCCAATCCCATAAGCCTTGCAACAACCCCGGGAGCCTTGGTTCCACAAAAATCTTCATCAGTGACAGATGAAGCACGGCTATAGTCACTACTACCTCTAAAACTTGAGCCAGCTATCATTTCATCCTCGTCCAACTGGATATATACACACGGTATGTGAGTCCATATCGAAAATAATGGAAACAAAATAGACTAAATTGCTAATTACCACATCAAATCGTAATGACTCAATAAATGATGAAATAGATAAAACGAGTGTGTTCTCACCACATGAAGTTGAGTCATTGGTGAACTTCTGTCACATATCTTTTTCTGTTTCGATTGCTCTATAAAAGGCAAAAGAGAACAATATTTATCAAGCCAAACATTAATGCGCAAACACACAATCTTATCACATCACTAATTTCAGAATCATACCTGGTAAATCAGACTTGCTCGAAAACAATTTCTTTCGAGATTTTGCATTCCAATCAAACATCTGGAAGAAGCCACTTCCACTTTTCGAACCCTGTTTCTCCATCCCCATATCTAGATACTGACTTTGTCGTGACAACTCTATTTTCACAAACCACAGAAGTCACTGCAAAGACAAGCAATGCTTCTACACCTAATATCCATCTGAAATTCAATGAGGCCATCTGAGTTTTTATTTAAAGAAACATAATAGCTTTAAATCAATGATTTTTTTTTATCATCAGCTTGATTTAAAAATCCATATCTCTAAAATAATGCACCACCTCAACCCGCATTTCGATCAATAAAAGTATTGAATCCATAAATGTGTTTCGATCAATAAAAGCACCGAGGGTTTCAAAATCGACTAATTAACATCAAATCAAGAAAATCACATAAATGTGTAAAACATCAAGGCTAGCTTTTCAAATCTCTCCGTTATTTCAGTACTTTATCCACAGCCAAAAATCACATTAAATATAAAAATCAAGCTAATCCACACTCTACATTATTCCAAGAACCAAATAAAACCATGTAAAGGGTCAGTGATTTACAGTAACCCCTTCGAAAAATCGAAAGACAAACACAATTAAAATGGTACAAATTTTCTTAACAAAGATCATTAAAAACCCAAGAAAATAAACCTCTTCTTTTAATTTCAAAAGAACTTACATGAACCACTTCAAATCATGATCATCAAAACTCTGTAACAAAAGCTATTACATTCAAGATATGTATATGTGTATATATATATAGAGAGAGAGAGAGAGAAAATGACTGAATTTTAGAGAGAAGAGAGTGAGGATGGAAGGTTTCTTGGTGAAAGCTGCCTTGAGAGCGTTAAGTGGTCGCATAGTTCAAGAAATAAGTGAGAAGGCAAAGCAAAATAATTTGGGTTTTAGAAATTTTCAAGAAAGGGCAAATTAATTGGAAAGCTGTTTCTTGAATTTCTTTGGGAAAAAAAAAAAGCATATAATAATTGTCCATACTGAAAAGGTTAAAATGGTAGTAACGGCTACTTGGGGAGGATGAGAATTCAAATTCCAATAGGGGGTGGGGTAGGATGGGCCCACGTGGGGGATGTTGAGAATTGGTTGACCGTTTTCCTGCATAGGATTCGGATTTTGAATGTTTTCTGTTGGGGACTTGGGTGCTTAATTTATGTGAAATATAGTGAGTCGGTCACCAATTTTCAGTTTGTAATAATTGAGTCTTACGCTTATGATTTTGTAGCATGTAGGACCTTGAACGGATGATTTCCGTTTGAATAATGTTATTCAGGCTACTGTTACTTAGCAACCTTCTATGCGACATGCGATCAAATAAAATTATAATCCATTTTTATCAATTGGATAATGTAGCAATGATCTCTCTTGCCACATAGATCGATAGACATTTGCTAGTACCAATAACATTGAATATCATTACTCTTTTGCGTTTATCAAAAGTTTTGTCAAAAAATCCCTTAGGGCTTGTTTGTTTCTACTAGAAATCATAATTTTGACCGTTGCAGCCGCCATATTTGAAAAAAATTGTGTGATAGTGGCCCCATTTTGTGGGAAAAAAGGGGCAAACAACTTATTTTCCCGAGAAAATAATCTAAAATAGACAGGCACTTAATATATTTATGAACTGTTCCCAAATTTTGATTATCATATTCCAATTAATAATGAAAAACTCTATTTTTTTTCTCGGTACATGAGAAGAAACTACAAAAAGGAGATATATGGTTCTTAACAAAGGAAACCTCTCTAAAACTTGGGTCAAATATGTTTCAAGCATGGGGTTTTCCAACCTTTGTCCCTAATGAGTGATAGAGTCCTCCAATTCTTGTCGAACTTGGGTTTCTTTTGGAGCATCTATTTGTATTGAGTTTAATTCTATTTGTGTTAGGAAAAAAAACAAGATGATTAGTTTGCTTTCTTTGGAAATTGAAGCCATACCTTCCATTGAGAAAGTATGTTGAATGTGCCTTCATGATTGTTAGGGTCGAAGGGTTTGTCCTTCAAACTTTCTAAATTTCTATTTTTTATCTACATAATGCGAGGAATAACGTACTCAAACAAATTTATTAATAATGAAATCCCCATTTTTCTTGGAATTCAAAATCAGCCCATCTATGAGATTACCTTAATAACTATCATACTTGAAATATCTCCAAATAAATCAAGTGGAAATTACATGGAGCC